TGATAGGAATGTTCCAGTACGCATTTTCGATATCTAACAAAGTGAAATACTTACTCCCTGCCATGAGTGAAAGGTTACTCTTAATGTCAGGTATAGGATACACTGGTGTAACAGTTACTGAATTCAGACCTCGGAAATCTGTGCAAAATCTATACTTCGGGGTTCCATCGGGGGATTTCTTGGGCACCAAAATTACAGGCGCCGCCCATGGAGACGCGCAAGGGGTTATAACTCCCTTGGCTAGCATCTCATCCAACTGGCGTTTTACTTCTCCTCTCAGTGCATAGGGCACTCGATAAGGGTTCTTCTTAATCGGCAGGGCGTCCCCTGTCCGAATTTCATGACAGCCGTTCTTCGTGCAAGGTAGTATACCTGTTTCTTCATTACAAAATAAATCCAAATATTCCTCAATTACCGGTAATAAAACTCGTTGTTCCTCGGTTGACAAGTGTTCCAGCTTCTTCCGAAGCTGTGTTCGTTTCTTTGTTAATTCCATGGAATTCCTCCCGGCCAAGGAGTTGATCCGGAGTTGTACTTCCTCCGTGACCTCGGGGTCGTGGAAATCGTTTCCTGTGCCCACCGCAGCGGTCCACCTGAGTGGTTCCGCCCGTCCGAGTGGGACATTCTTTCCGACCTCCAAATGCTGACCTCGAGTATTTAATACTTTTAAAACGCAATATCTTACTTTATCACCTCGGTGCTTTTCCTTAACACCGGTATTCTGATTTCCTTGTCTCCGAGTACCTGCTTTCGCAGTTTCCTGTCTTAGACAGTCTTCCCCTAGTGCTTTTAACTCATCTAATTCTTCCGCCGTTAGTACCCGGCTCGCTACCCGAGCCACGTATGCTCCCGGCGTACCTAACTCAAGGGGCTCAATTAGCACTTCTCCTGGTAGATCGTCGCTGTACTTTTTCTCTATTTTTCCGATCACCAGTCCCTCAGACAAAGGGGGGAGCATGACTGACCCGAAAGCCACAACGTTCCAGCAATCAATTGCGACACCTCCCGGGCTCAACCCTGGGATGGGTACTTCAACCTGCCCACTTGGCGGCTCCTTCAGCGGGGTGCGCAGTCCCGCTTCCGGCGTCACCTGAGATAGGCGGTTTTGGCGGCGAATTGCTTGACACCGCTCGACCTCTTGGCCTGACAATTGATATCGCTTCTTTCCGAGAAGAAGCGTGCTGGGCCGAAAGTCAATGCATGCCTCCATATGTCCGAGTATATCGACCCCTAAAATACCACTATACTCCGCGTCCAGTAGAGCTACCAGAAATTCGTATTTGAAATTTCTGTTTCCTACTTTAAACGTCGTCGGCTGTGTTCCCATCACCTTTAACTTACTTCCGGTAATCCCCTTTGCGGTTATCCGTGTTGTTTGAATTTCAGACTTGACAATTCCGGGTTTTATCACACTCACAGTTGCTCCTGAATCGACTAACATTTGATGAATTCTCCCCTCTATTTCTATTTCCAACAGGAGCTCGGGCCCGGCGATGGTCGCCTGCAATCGACCTATCTTCTCGCCGTTGGCTGTGGGTTTGACACTGGGGAGCTGAGTGCCAAACCGTGCCCGTTTGGGGGCGGATTGGCCCGGGGCACCCGCGGGCAATCCCGGCGTATGTGCCCATACTCACGGCAGTGGTGACACTGAATTTCAGACGTGCGGCCGTCATCATGAGGAACCCAAGGCCGTGTTGGTCGCCGGGGTCCTCTGCGTGATCTTCCGGACCTGTCTCCTCGTGTTGTCATGTGTGTGCGCGGAGGGCCACTTCTCCCTTTTCCCCGCGGACCATTTTGCGTCCTCCATCCTGGCGGAACATGTTCCGGGGCCTGTCGGCAGTCCCTCGCATAATGGCCTGGTTTCGCACAGCGATAGCATCGGGTGTCCTGCCTGGCGGCGAAGATGTTCCTCGGACCTTCCCTCAGTCGTCGGTGTTTCTCCACGTTCTCGATGGTTACAGCCAGCTTCACCGCTCGATCCATATTATCCGGCATCTGGTACCGCACCTGTTGGCCTACGACACCTCTGAGTCCATGGATATATGCGGCGAGCAGCCTACGCTCGGCCTCCTCATTAATCACACGTTGGGTCTCCTCATCGTTCACCCTGCGGATTGTTTTCTGACACATTTTCCGGCAGCGATCTCCAAACTCTTCCGCTCCTTCCATCTTACCTTGGATCGCCTCCTGGAGACTGGTGTAGTAGTACTGGTCAGGAAGCTTGTCACTGAACCTCTCTAACAAAGCTGATCTTAACACTTCATACGGGCATCCATCTCTGCCCAGATCTTCTCGCCCATGTAGGTATTGAAGGGCCAAACCCTGTAGTTTCGCCTTCACAATGAGGGCTTTATCCTGATTCGTCCATCCGCTCACTTTAGCTAAAGTCTCAATCTGGGTCAAGAAGTCGTGCACGGGCTTACCCTGGCTCTCTCCCGTCCATTCTTAATGCCTGCGACGAGCGAGACGTCTTTGCTCTGGCCTCTAGGGCCGTCCTCAATTCGAAGGTTGTCCATCCGGTCCTGAAGCTCTTCCATCTGAGCTTGGAGGATCTCCATTTCCACTGACTCTGCCATGGTGTTGTGGTCTCGGTTCCTTCTGGATCTGAGTGCGTCTACCTTCGGGTAGGCAGTCCTGGAACGTTAGCGTACTCGACTCTGGGGCCTTCTATCCTTCGGTTTGTGGGTAACTTATACGTTTCCTTCCGTGGAACCATATACTCTCCCTGCCTTGGAAAGGTTGAGTATCTATGGGGCAGAGTGCCTTCTGGCGTCCGGGAGGTCCCTGCGGACGGTTCAGAGTATAATCCCTCCTCGACTGGCTCCCCACAATAAGTGGACAGGAAGTCGGTTCTCTCTATTTCTAGGTCGTTATACGTATAACCCGGGGTTATATACCTCTGGACGATCATAGTCTCTACATCGAATACTACCGTCCCGTTCGAGTTCCCATTAGTGAACACCTTATAAGATGGGGCCTGGAATCCCTTGGGGGTACCTTCAAATGCAATTTCAAGACGTGAGTCTACTCCTAACTGCTGAAACTTAGGTGCACGTTCGTCTATTCTTTCAGGACTAATTTTCGTGTACTTAGGGAAAAAGTTTTTCACTAGCGCCAAGGCGAACACATCTGAATCCTGCAAGCGGTAGGGCTAGTTGCAGCAACAACATGGACAAAAAAGAACAGTAAACAGGGGTGCGTCTCGGGGGTCAAGTCCCTTCCCACAAGTGCACTGTCCCCAGCAACACATAACCTTTGTCACAGACCCGTATCACTCCCAGCCTCACATAACATTATGAGGTAGTAAGAGCCATCCACGTTCCAAGTTCCTTCTTTCCTTCAGGGTGCAAGACCTGCAACTCGGGCTGAGTCACACTTATCCCACCGCTGCCACCAGTTTTGTTGTGCCCCAAGGGGTTGGGGTAGCGCCGACCCCTAATGGGCACGTGGATAGCTCTTACCGGGCTTGGGAGGTGCCGGGTAAATGAAACACACAAGTACAAAATACATTGAGGATATATTACTTAACTCTCTCTCTCTCTCTGTCTAAGGGCTAATTAATACATGAAAATAAATCTGACTACAACTTACAGTACATGATATTCATTCTTTGGCCTATCGCCTCCTCCTGAACGGAGTCCTACTCATTTAGTCCTTCAGTTCACAGTTCTGAGTGTTCTAGTTTGTTACTGACAGTGTCCCGACAAGAAGCAAGTACTCACTTGAACAGCATAGTAGACACAGAATGGCGGCTCTGGCTGTCCCTTCATGGTCGGCACTGTCACAGAGTTCGGTAGCAACAACTACGCCCAAAGTCTCCTTTTTCTGNATATTTTAATTACTTTGGAACAGGAGAAGCATGCGGATGCCACTCGTCACAGCGTACTACTGGGAGGAAGTTATGTCGTCAGACCGGAATCTAATTATGTTCACAGACAGAAGTTAATCGATCACATTACTACGCACCCACCGATAACATTTTGTTATCTCGAAACTTTAACATAAAGTGATCAGATCAGAAACACGGGACAATGAATATATTAACACAAGTTATTTTTCGAGCCGGTCACGGTAGCCGAGTGGTACAAGGCATGCACTGTCTTCGCTCGCTCGGAAGCCGGGATCGTGGGTTCGAATCACACTCAGGGCATGGATGTTTGTGTGTGTTTTTCTGTGTTTGTGTACAGGTAGAGGCCTTGAGACGAGCTAATCACTCGCCCAAGGAGTCCTACCGTATGTGTAAGATCGAGAAAACCCGAAGTAAACGGAGAAGTTCATGGAGGTAGGCCTAGGCCCACTGGGGCTGTGGTGCCAAGGAGAAAAAAGTTTTTTTTCGAAGCATTTACACACGCTTGGGGGAGCCGTATAGCGTAGTCGGTATAGCGACTGGCTAAGGGCTGGACGATCGAGGTCGGTGTTCGAGTCCCGGTTGGGTCCAGACCAGCTCTGGAGACAACGCAGCCTCCTATTCAACTGGTACCGGGCGCTCCTTCCTCGAGGGTAAAGCGGCCGGGGCTTGAAGCTGACCACTCACCTCCAACTAGTGCCGAGGTCAAGAAAATGTGGATCTATACATCCACTTCTCCATGCGTCTTAGTGGTGCAGTGCTTAATTAGTTAAGCAGAGGGACAATTTTACCTTTGCTTTTTACACACACTTGAGTCCTGGGAAGTTCTGGGAATCTTGGTTCTCCCCACAGAGTCCTGGATGATTTTATAAGTGCGATATCCGTCACTTGGGAGTTCCTTCGCTAGAGAGCAGGGGATTTCGGAATACATGTATTCCTGCTTCAAACATGATCCTACCTGGTCGAGTTTATTTGTTGTCACTGTGGAGGCACTGACATTTCAGGGATTCCTACCGAATGTCTAAATACGCTGACCGTGTCAGAATTCGTAATATTTCGGAACAGGGTCGAGGAACTAATGTGACAAAGCAAGAGGTCTACAACATGATTAAGAAACTGAAAAGTGGCCAAGGCCCAACAAGGGGTTGTAGAGCCGTAGATAGATGGATAGTGGATGAAGCTGTTCTGAAATGTGAGCGATACAAAATTGCATCCTTTTGCAAACTTTAGTTACAAAAAAAAACTGATGACGGCCTACTGTTCCTAATGTTCCTAGCCTAGTCTATCCTCGAATCTATTTAAAATATGGAGCCGAAATTTTGCGATGCATCTCCCCCCCTAGTCGAAATAAATACATTACTGATGCAGCTCATTTACGCCAGCAAGTTCGGCGAGTATAATTTATTTCAGTTCAAGCAATTCAGTTGAAATTAGCCGTAAGCCATCAACTACAGCAGAGTGTTTAGTATCCTAGAAATATTTTCCATGGAAGGATCAGCGAAGTATATTTAACTGCAGTATGCCTGACATCTGACAATTATTGTGTCACATTACACTAAGCCTGTCAAATAACCTTACATTTCATGTAACAACTGGTAACTGGGGGATTGCGATTCCTGAGTTCTATGTCATAGAATCGTTGGGGTTCATTTTGCTTCGCGTTTGAATTTTTTAAATTG